GTTACTATGTAGAAGGTCAGGGGGTTGAGGACAGTGTTATAAAAAGTAAAAAGATTAAAGAGGAAGGCTATCAAGATACAATAAGGGACAAATGGTATTTTCCACAAAGATAAAATTTTTTGATTTTGATTTTTTTTTCCACTCAGTCATCAATCTCCTCCAATCTCCTCCAATTCTTCCTTAGCCACAGCCAAAGCTCTATGATAAATCTCGCAGCTAGATTGTCTCTATGCCTGTCCTTTTCAGCTTTTGCTCTGTCAGGCTTCTTTAATGGCTGCACTTCCTGTTCTCCGATACAGGCAAGTAAGATCCGATCTTCAGCTTAATTCACCTTCCCGCTATGGCCAGCAAATAAGGAACAAAATTTTCCTGAGTTCTTATGTGTTCCTTGCTCCACCAAACCTCTTTTTACGCAGACAGTTTCAGCGCCCTCAGACTTTCCTTTTCTGCGCCGGCTAGACGAGCTCTGTGCCTTGGCAAACTGCTCTTTGATCTCCAGCGCCGCTCGTTTCCACTCTGAGCCCCTCGCTCTCGTCTACGCCGACCCCTTTTTGATGTTTAAATCCACATAGGCAGGGAAAGCAGGTTTCGATCACGCCACTGCCACCTCCGATCTTCCTTGCTTCCTTCTAGTTGTCAGCTCCCCACAGCTTCAAGTCAGCCATTAAAAGGCTGACTCACTCACGCTGGTTTGACAGAGCCGCCCGGATTTGCGAGAAGTGCTTGCGCTTCACTTTCTCGCTCGCCGGACTCCCTCTATTGTCCGCGGGCTCTCCAGGTCCCGCGCCCCTGAAGGGATCCCCAAAACGTGGTGACAGGCGGTGTTGAGGAGTAGCGATCACTCACTCAGCACCATATCGCCGCAGCTCACCAACCGGAAGTCTCTATGGGGGTGTTTTTCTATTTCAATGGCTTCTATAATTATTCTCTTGTTGTGGTGTTCAGTTTTGGAGATTAATTTGGTTCCTTCAAAATCAAGAAAAAAGAAATACAATAATAAAATACACATGCGTTAAATATAAAGAATCAAGATATAAATAATTGCATTGCCTTTAAACCTGACTAGGTGGCTCAGTGGCTAAGACACTGAGCTTGTCGATCAGAAAGGTCAGCAGTTCAGCGGTTCGAATCCCTAGTACAGGTCTCCTGCATGAGCAAGGGTTTGGACTAGATGACCTCCAAGGTCCCTTCCAACTCTGTTACTGTTACATCGCTTGATGTGATACCATGATCTCTTTGATCTAATGGGTTTATAATGTCTATAAACACTTTTCTTAAGGAAAGAATCACTATAATACATGCAAATAAGACTTCTTTCCTGATGTCAATCTGGTCTGATCTGTCCCCGTACACACAGCCTTTGGAACGCACCCAGTTCTTATCTCCGACTTGATAGACACATCTGCCAAGGGTCTTTATTTCAGACAGAAATACGAACGTTCAAGAAATCCAAACAGTATTCTCATATAGTGTCCAATTGCTCGTCACAAAACCTTGACAACTACATCTATATATATCTCAACTCAGTAGCAGAAATGTATGTCCAAACGTTTATCACCTTATGCGTCCAGGAATGATGTCTCATTATCACTTTGACTGGAATCAGCTGTCTCCTCTCCCTCGAATGAGACAATGCCAGAAGCCTGGAGAAGGCTTGACTCCTCTTCCTCATGCTGAGCTTTCAGGCTAACACTGGTCATCATTAACAAAACCACAACACTTGGTGGTTTTGAGTGAAGGGGAAGTGTGAAACAGGTATCCCTTCCCACCCTACTGTATCTGATGAGAAAGAAGAAAAAAAGGCAACTCCTGCCATTCTTTTTTCTCCTTTCCACTTTATGGTTTGTGCAATGTCCTTCACTATTCATCCCTTGCATGATACTGATCCAGGTTGTGTTTTATGTGGATATGGCTTTATCAAGTTAATTCTGGATTGCAAAAGGATTGTTGTTTATGAAATGATACTGCGATTTAGGTTTGCTTTCTGATGTCAACAGTCCAGAGTTCAAACCCTTTAAAGAAACAAAGTCAGTCACCCGTGCATCCTTTCATAGTCAACAGATAAAAGCCTGCTTCTAAATTTCAGGAGTGTCATTTTCTGCTCTGTTCAGTGCTTTATTTCTGAAAGATATTAAATAATCAGCAAGAAAGAACCATAAAGGTAATTCTAAAAGATTTATTCCTAGCATTAAGACAGATGATAGTAGTTTATTAGAAAATGTTTGATTAAGATGTTAATGATTTTAAGCTTCGTTTTAAAGTAGTTCTGTGATGTTTTACTATGAACAGGTATAGCACATACATTGTTTCATTTTTTTAAAAAAAAGTCATGTGGATGCAAGGATCAAAAAATGCATACATTTGTTTAGGATTAAACCAGTTTGACTTCATATATTAACCAGAATATTAAACTGATCAGTGCTATTAAAAGGTATTAAGACTTTTTGCATATGAGGCATGCATATGGTCATCTAATCATTAGAATATCAACTAGATATGTACATCTGTAATTACTATAAACTAGAAATCAGAAGGAGCTGAGTAGCATTTCACAAAAGCTTATGCCTCTTAATAAAAAGTGTTAATTTGGAAAGATGCTATCAGACTCCTGATTTGTTACTATCCCAGACTAACACAGTTCTGTTTGTATACAATGTATACAAAGAGTATACAAATTTCCTTGTTTTCCTCTTGATAACATTGAAGACCATAAATGTAACTTTTTGAGTTCCTGTTTTAACAGTTGTAGAAAAAAAAAAGTTGACTTTTTCCAGGTTGTTTTCTCTTGGGGATCATCGCTGAAGAAGGTTGCCAAATGTGAATTATTGAAACAATAATTTCAATAATTGTGAAGTGAGAGATCTTGACCCTCTGTTTATGCTGCTAGCATTAAGGAAGGGGAAAAAACCCTTTAATTTCTCTTTTATTGCAGCCCTGTTATTATGGAAAAAGCAAAACATGCAGCATTATTCAACTATAAAGGGTATAATTTAGCAAAAGAAACCATGAAACTTGATCTCGTTGAAGCACTAGAAGATTTTGAAACCAGGGATAGTGATATATTCATAATCACTTATCCAAAGTCTGGTAAGAATTCTGTAATATGACATGAGCAATGTATATTTAAATTTCATACTGTAACTAAACTTTCTCCTTGGGAAGTTTCATTCTGCCCCTCTGTATGAAAGTAATATAGAAAGCTAGCATCCGCCCTCCTAAAAAAATGAAATATTCTAGAAAATATTAAAAAGGCAGAATATTATATTTTCCCTAAAGGAGAAACATGTTTCTAAAGACATAAACTCAGAGCCTCAGCTCCCTGCCCTCCCAGCAGATATTTTGGTGCCAACCTATCTTCAAAACAAAAGGCTGGGCCAGCTTATCTACAAAACAAAAAACCTTCACCCTCAGGACATGATAGGATTAGCCCTTACTCAAGATCCAAAACAGGACAAAGCCATTAAGCCATAATAGGAATTGCCCAACACACTTTCAGTATACAACCCTCTTCATTACATCATCACCCAGCAAGATTCAACCAAGCCTGGGACAACCTACAAGACAACCTACAAAGTTACCCTGCATCGCTCCATGGGAGTCTGATAACCAATTAGGATACCTGCCCTTATACAGGAACCGGAAGCTGTAAGGCAAGCTCTGGAACCCAGAAGAGATCAGCTGGCAGGTTAGCAGGTGCACGGCAGCCAGCTAATCTGGGTTCCATAACGCACCGGGGTGCCAGACACCTAGTCCAGTACGCATGCGCACTGGCCAGTTGCTCTCTTCCGGGTTCTGGTGCACACATGGGTGCCACCCAGCTGGTTTTCCGGCACACATGTGCCTGCCGGAACCCGGAAGAGAGCAGCTGGCCAGCGCCAATGTGTGCAACGGAACAAAGAAGAGCAGCTGGCGATGGAGCACGTGCCCACAGAGAGGGCTCTGTGTGCCACCTCTCACACGCGTACCATAGGTTCGCCATCATGGGCCTAGGACCTCAAACCATGTGGTCCTGCCCACCATTAAACCATCTTTCCAAACATCCTCCATGTTTCCAATGTTTTCCTCCCTACTTGGAACTGAACCCAGAGGGACATTTCTTCCAACACTTGTGAATAGATACATTGCACTGATTATGTTCATTTCGTTTGGAATACATGTGAGTTCCCCTCTTCACAAATAAATGCCTTTATTTTGGAACCTGGTCTGTATCATTGAAATCAGGCATTTCTTACAGAACATGCCTTGCTCACAGAACAAGCCTCACATTTCTTACATGTTGTGCCTTGTTCACAGAACAAGCCTTATTAAATGCATGGTTCTACCTCCCCTTTGTTTTCTTAAGATTCTGGAGTATTTTCTATGCTGTGACTTTGAAAAAACAATTTCCAAGCTTCTTTCTTTCTCCAGAGCTCTAGAGCTAGAAAGAAGGAAAGAATGCATCTACAGTATGCAACACCACTTCCTTCCTTCCTTCCTTCCCTCCCTCCCTCCCTCCCTCCTTCCCTCCCTCCTCCCTCCCTCCCTTCCTCCCTCCCTCCCTGAGGAACTCTTGGAAGAAGAGCTCTAGAAGTAGCAAAAAATCATCCCTTTACTATGAAATTAATTCCTTCCTACTCCAACAAGGGACAAACATAAGCCCCAGAGTTTAGAAGTTCGTACGTATGGGGACATAGGTTTGATAGCCTAAAAGCTCTCAAACCGGACCTTCAGAATCATAGACTACCTCATACAACTCACTATATAATCAAATACTATTCTTATATACTATAAGCAAATACTATTTAAAACATATTTAAATGTCAAATGGAACATTTCTAGATTCTAAGTGAGTTTTCTCTCTAGGTGATGTATGAGTATGTGATACAGCTACGTTTTTTTCTGCTTAGTGATAAATTATTTCTTAATTATTTCTTTGCTTAGTGATACAACTTTGGTGATATAAGTAATGTGAAACCCAGATAATTCCCTCAACTTTAAAACAAGTTGATTTTCATTTTTAGGAACTATCTGGACCCAGAATATTATATGCTTGATTTTGTATGAAGGCCATCGGAATGGAACAGAAAATATTTGCATATCACATCGGTGTGCATCCATAGAATACAACATATACAATGTGGATATCACCCAGATGCCATCACCTCGTGTCCTCATGTCCCATCTGCCATATTACCTAGTTCCCAAGAAACTGAGGGGCAAGAAGGGAAAAGTAGGTCAATCTTGTTACTCTAGTCTGACTATAAAAATGAGTTAGCTGAAAAACTACAATGATTGTATAAGTATATGTGTATATTTATGTATATATGTGTTTATATTCATATAGGAGAAAAGCAGGAGAAAAGAGTACAGATTGTAGGAGAAAAAGCACTGTAATGCAACTGTATTCATTACCCATTTAGATAAAATCCTGAGTGCTTGAAAGAAGTGGAGTTTGCTCACTTTATATAAAAGTGGCTTGCCCTGCCAGTGTTGGTAGGAGTGTTCTTGGTAGTTCCTTGATTAGGCTATTGTTTATTGTGTGACTATCTAAGTTAGTGGTTCCTTGATTAAGGTATTTATCGTTTGATTGCTAATATAGCCAATTACTGTATAGCCAATTACTCTAGCTCAATGTACTGTAATTCATGACATGGAAATGAGAATAACGTGACGTAGGGTCGTGGCGGCACAGGAGAGAAACGATCTCTCTCTGGTGTCAGATTTCTGAGCTTTTGGTGCCTTTTTTGGCGGAGACCGATCTTGGATAGATCGGGAATAAGGAGGGGAAACTTCGGGGGAGGCGAGGAGAGGTGCGATTTCTCACCGCACCGCGAAGATCCCTCATTCCAGACTCGGGAGAAGCCAGCAGCGCGATGAACGCAGCTGGCCCGGAGGCCCGACGAGCCGATTGAGACCATCGGGAGCGGAGGAGTGAGTACAGTGCAAGATCGTGGAGGGTGAGTAGAAAGCAAGAATCAATAATTTGGAATAATTTGGCGCAAATCGAGGAGAGAGTATTTTTCCGGAGGGGTAGTGTGAAAAGAGAAGATCTCAGAGTGTGAACGGGCGGCAATTGTAGAGGCGAGCAGAAAGGAAGAGGATGGAATATAGATCAGCAGAGAAAGAATAAAAAACACCAAAACACTAAAACAGCGAAAACGAGGTGAGAAGAAGTGGACTTAGATCAACTGCGGTGATTTGAAGAATAGACATTCTTTGTAACCTCCTTTTTTGGCTGCCCTAACGGAAGGAGAGAGGTAGTTTGGCAAAGTAAAAACTGCAAACTGTGACTGTGCAGATTAGAGATCGCCATATTGAAATAGGAAAAGACTTCAGTGTTAAAAAAAAAAAAGAGACTTGCTTTTTCTTTTGTTGAAGATATAGCAAACGAGACTCATAGAACACTTGAAATATACTGTTCATATATAGTCCTTTTTTTATTTAGACATAAATAATTGTTACTGATTATTATAGTTAAAATAGATAATTGTTAGTGATATTTATTGGATATTTATTTATTTATTTATTTATTCTCTTATTTATTGGAATTAATTAAGAACTATAGCGAAATTTGCACTTAATTTAAGTACTATAAGCATTATATTTACTAACTGATTATTAATTATTGAATACTGAATATTAAGTATTAAGAATTGATTGATTGAATAAGTCTTTGATTATCTAAGTTGCATTTTTATATATATTTATACGTATATTAATATCTATATCGCTATTTTATATTATATTTATACTTACATTTCTGCCACATTTTTATGGAGTATTTTATAGAAGTAATTAATTATTTAATTATTTAAAGATTATTTAAAGAAATCTGCTTAAAGGAAAGAGATTAAGTGAGTGAGAGATTACTGAATTGAATTTTTTACGAGAGGAAAGAAAAGAGAGAGAAAGAAATTATACAAAATTTGGATGGTGATTTGGGAGAAAGTTGATAAAATATTGCTGGAACAACATAGAATTTTGAAAGAGATGACGAGTACTACCACAACAACGTTGAAGACAGGGAAGAAGATAACATCAATCTTAGCAGGAACAGCAGCCTCCCCAGTGTCACAGAAAACCTTGGAAGGAATGTTTGCGTCAGAGAAGCAACCCAGCACACCCAATATGCCAACAATGCAAGCCACATTAATAACAATTCAAGAAACCATGGCCAAAATGCAAGAATGTATGACCAGGAACCACGAGCAATCCAGAAAAGATATGGACGAGGTAAAGAGAGAAGTAAAGAACGATATCCAAAAGATTGATGAAAAAATGGATCTGATACAAGAAATTATTCAAAAAAATGACCAAAGGATAAAAGAAATAGAACAAAAAACGGAATTGACAGAAGAAAAACTGGAAGCACTGGATACAAAAATGACAGGATTAAACAAGGAACTTGAGAACACAGTGGCGCAGCTGGAAATGGAAAAAGCGGCATTTACCTGCGTTTCCAAAATGTAGCGGAAGAGAGGGAGGAAGATTTGATGATGATAATGGCAGGGATGATTGCTGAGTCGCTCCAAAGAGAAAAGGATGAAATAATAAATGAACTTGATGAAGTGTACCGGGTCCATACAAATTATGCCCGACAAAATAAGCTTCACCGGGAGGTACACATAAGATTCGTAAGAAGAAAGGTGAGGGATATCGTATACAAAATAACAAAGGACGAACCTTTGTTCTATAGGAATAAAGAAATAATTACTCTGAAACAAATTCCCAAAAGGATAAGAGATCTGCGAAAGGACTACTGGTTCCTGGCCACATTGCTAAATAGGAGATATATACCCTTTAGCCGGAAGGGATGTTAGTAACATGGCAGGGAAAGAAAATAAAGGTGGATTCGCAGAGTAAGGCAAGGGAACTATATGACCAAATGATGGGCAGCGAGGCAACAAATAGTAGTAAAGAAGAGGGAGGAAGGAATATTAAAGGAAAACAGAGGCGGGAACGTGAAAAAAACCCCCACAAGGAGGAAAAGAAGACGAAGGAGAGACGTAGGAGAAAGGAGGAATGCAAACGAGAGGCAAAAAAAAAAGGAACAGGAAGAAACAAAGAAGAAACAACAGGAAAGTCAGTAAAAAATGGAAAGAACTCTAAAAATCCTATCAGTAAATGTAAATGGACTCAACTTGCCATCCAAACGACACCAAATTTTTAAAAAATTGTGAAACAAAAATCAGATATAGTGTGCCTCCAGGAGGTACACATAAAAAAACAAGATATAAAATATATACAATATAAGAAATTAGGTACAGCATACTCATCATTGGCAGAAGAAAAAAAAAGAGGAGTAGTGGTATATATTAAGGAAGGAATAGATAGCAATATAAGATATGTGGATACTGAAGGTAGAATAGTGATGATAGAACTAAAACTTGATTTTAAAAATATATTGTTAGTAGTAATATATGCCCCAAATAGTAAACAATTAGAATTCTATAAAAAAGTGCACGAGAAAATTATGGATCAAAAAATGGAAAATGTATGTCTGATTGGAGACTTCAATGCTATTTTAGATGCAAAAAAAGATTATAAATGTGGCCAGCAAAATAAAAATAAGAAAAATGTATTGCCCAGAACCTTTATGGCGGAAGAGCTAAATATGATAGATAGCTGGAGATTCTATAATCCCGAAATTAGAAATTTTACATATTATTCGAATCCACATAAGTCCTGGTCTAGGTTGGATATGGCATGGGTATCCAGTATGTTAATGAAATGGTAGAAATTCTATCAAATGATTGGGTGGATCACAACCCAATAATGATGACGTGGAAGGGGCAGCAGAAAAGGAAAAACAGATGGACAATGAATATACAGTTGATAAAAAAAAAGAATACAAGAATTATATGGAAAAAGAGTTAGAATTGTTTTATAAGGAAAATACAAAACAACACACCTCCCTACAAAACTTATGGGACACAACTAAGGCGTATGCAAGAGGCCTTACAATAGCATATAATGCAAAATGGAGAAAAGAGAGAGAAAAAGAATATAATAAAATATGAGAAGAAATTCAAAATTGGGAACGTAAATTGCAAGGGAAACCAGGGGATGAACAAATAAGGGTAAAATGGATAGCGGCAAAACACAAGCTGAACATATTAGAACAAGGGAAATAGGCAATTAATTTAAGATATATAAGGCAGAACTACTTCGAATGCGCAAACAAACCAGGGAGGTGGTTGGCATACAGACTGAGGAAGGAAAGGGAAAAAAAGACAATTCAGAAGCTACAAGATGATGAGGGAAGGATCCATCAGAGCTTAGAGGAAAAAAAGGAGATAGTAGTCCAATATTATCAAAAACTCTGTGAGAAGGACATAGTAACAACGGAGGAAATTGAACATTATCTAAAAGGAGAGGAAGTGCAAATACTAACAGAGGAAGAAAAAGAACTATTAGATAAGGAGATTACGATAGGGGAATTAAAAGAAGCGCTGAAGAGACAAAAAAATAATAAAACTCCGGGGACCGATGGTCTACCAACGGAGTTTTACAAAACATTTGGGGAATTATTAAATGGAATGCTATTAGAAATATACAATGAAGCGCTGATGGAGGCAAAATTACCAAACACATGGAAAGAAGTGTATATCTCCTTAATACCAAAAGAGGGGGCAGATACCACATTAATAAAAAACTATAGGCCAATTTCTTTGTTGAATACCGATTACAAAATTTTCATGAGTATAATTGCCAATAGGTTGAAAAAAATATTACACAACAAAATACATCAGGACCAAAATGGTTTCTTGCCCACAAGACAGATAAGAAATAATTTAAGGATGGTAATGGATGTTTTGGAATATTATGAGGTGCATCCAGAGAGACAGGTAGCTCTGATCTTTCTGGATGCACAAAAAGCGTTCGATCAAGTAAATTGGCAATTTGTGAAACAACAAATCAAAACTATGAATTTTGGAGAGAAATTTACTAAAATGATAACATCAATATATCAGAACCAAAAAGCATGTATTTTGATAAACGGAGATCCAACAAAAATTTTTGGAATAAATAAAGGAATAAGGCAGGGATGCCCGCTATCACCCCTACTTTTTATTTTAACCTTGGAAAACCTGCTAATTAGAATTAGGGTAAATAAAGAAATACAAGGATTAAAGATTAAGAGAGAGGAGTACAAGGTCCAAGCTTTCGCTGACGACTTGGTCTTCGTCATAGAAAACCCAACAGAAACAACCCCGAAATTACTAAAAGAGATTGAAAAATTTGGAAAAGTAGCAGGTCTAAAAGTTAATAAAGAAAAGACAAATATGATAACAAAAAATATGACAACAAAATAAGTAGAGAAATTAGTAAAAGATTCAGGATTACAGGCAGTTAAAAAAGTGAAATATCTGGGGATACATCTGACGGCTAGAACTATAACAATAAAACAAGATAATTATGAACCTTTAGTCCAGAAAATAAAAGAGGATTTAGAGAAATGGGGGAAATTAAGACTATCTTTGTTGGGGAGGATAGCAGCAATAAAATTAAATATACTGCCAAGACTCCTTTATTTATTCCAAACAATTCCAATAAAATTGGACAAGAAATTCTTTGATAACTTGGATAAAATAACCACAAAATTTGTGTGGGAAGGGAAAAAATCAAGAATAAAACTAAATATATTGCAAGACGATAAAATTAGAGGCAGATTTGGTTTCCCGGCATGGCAAAAATACTACAAGGCTGCAAGCTTACTTTGGATCAAGGAATGGATAACTTTGGATAATCAAAGGTTGATAAACTTGGAAGGACATGACCTGATGAAGGGATGGCATGCCTTTATTTGGAACACCAGGAATAAAATATATAAACACTTCAATAACCACACTATTAGGAAATCTTTAATTAATACATGGCAACAAATTCAACACAAACACATGAAAATCCCCGGCTGGCTATTGACAATAGAAGCAATAACTCACCCCAATATATTATCAAAACAAAAAATATTAAGATATAGAGAAATACTAGATAGACAGGGGAAACTGAAAACCAGAGAAGAATTAAAGGAACAAGGAATAGCAATAGACTGGTGGCCATACTCACAAATAAAGATAAGATATAGGAAGGATCAGGAGGAGGGAGGAATAGATTTAAAACAAAATCGATTGGACAAATTATTAGAATCCAAAGAAGGGAAATTAATTTTGAAAATTTATAAATATTTACTCGAATATGATTTGGCAGAAGAATTGGTTAAAGGGCAGATGATAGCCTGGGCGAGGAACATTGGGCACAGTATACAACTAGAAGAATGGGAAAGAGCGTGGGAGAATAACTATAGCATGACAAAATCGGTAGCCAACAAAGAAAATCACTATAAAATGTGGTATCGATGGTATCTGGCCCCCGCAAGGTTAGCAAAAATGTACCCAAATGCAAACCCGACCTCTTGGAAGTGTAAAAAAGCACAGGGAACTTTTTATCACGCTTGGTGGCTCTGCCCAGAAATTAAGAAATATTGGAACAAGATAAAAACATGGATAGCAGAAATAACAGATTATGAAATTGAATTAGAACCCGAAATTTTTTTATTAGGTATGATTAAAAAGAACATTAGGAATGATATAAAATATTTAATACTTCACATAATAACGGTGGCTAGATTAGCGGTAGCACAACTTTGGAAAACAAATAGATTGCCAACCGATCAGGAGCTAATACAAAAGATATACACATGCGCAGAAATGGACAAATTAACCTTGGAGTTACAGGATAAGGAGGATTCAAAATATTTTACAATATGGAATAGATGGTACCAGTGGATAAATCAGAGGAGGCCAAATGGGTAGAGATGAAATTTAGAGGAAATTAATATAATTAAAAAATGCACTGTCAGATAGATAGAAAATGAATTATGTCACTGTAGGTTTGTATATATGTATATATAATAATAGAAACTAGTTAGTAATTGAAATTGTTTATTGTATATGTATATGTAAATTTGTTTCTTGATTAAGTTAACTTTTAACTTAATCAAGCTTTTGTATGTTTTAAATGTTTTTAAGAATGAATAAAGTTTTGCTTTTTAAAATTAAAAAAAAGAGAATAAAATGTGGGTCAGTGAAATATACTTTATATCAGGAAAAGGGAAACATTTATATAATTTTATAAGAACATTTTTCAATGTACTTTAGAACATATCCTCAGTTTATTAAAAATGAATGTATTTTTATAGATTACATATAATATATTTTCTTGCAGGTTATTTACATATACCGAAATCCAAAAGACACTTTAGTGTCCTATTTTCATTTTATCAACTCATTCAGGGCAGTGGAAAATTCATATAATTTGGAGGAATACATGGAAAGATTTTTATCTGGAAACGGTAAGATGGAAATAAAAACTTTAATTATCACAACACTGTCAAAAAGGGCTGGTTTGCTAGTGTGTCCCCTTGGAGTTATTAACAACAACAACAACACACAGTTTGAAGCATTTCAGCAATAGGAGAGAACTTTACATTTAATGAATCCAAAGTTTCCTCATTCTCCAATGAAACTCCAGGCTAAATCTCACTTTGCACAGTTGCTCATATTGGTTTGTGTGTGGGGAAAAATTAAACACTCATAAACTTCCACCTCTCTCTATTAAAATAAAATCCATGTCAGCCAACATAGCGATAAGGATCTAACGGGGTCCACTAGAGGAACTGCATTAAACAGTAATGGTGTGAATCTGGCCAGAGACAACATGTGACTTGGATGAGTTGGAAAACAATCCCAACTGAGTCATTTTTCAACTCAGGGCTATCATTAATTGTAACTGTCTTCACTGCCTTGCCTAACAATCCCCATCCCTGCTCTTCACGGGTGTTAAGTAACCAGGCTGGCAATTAAGCAGAGCAAAGGGTGTCTCTGGGTTGGGGGAGACCCTGGGAAGCCTAGTGCAGGCCCAGGCATGTGCTGCAACACTTTTACAGCCCACTCATGGCCTGCCCCGGGCCTCCAAGGCCTGCCCCACTCTCTGAGGCAGCCCACGCTCTGCTTCCTAGACCTCAGCATCCCATAGGTCCCACAATTTATGGTAGCTGCTCCCAAAATTGCAGCCATTTGTGGAATGGAGCAACACAACCTCCACTGTAGAGAAACAGGCCGAGGGAAATTGTAGACAAACATTGTAGAGGGGTAGAACAACCTGTTCTTGTTCCCCAATGGAGCTCCAGAGATCACGCTGGGGAAGGAGAGCAGGCCACTCAGTCCCATGGGCTCCTTTGGGTCTGCCTTGGAAGCAGAGACCATTTTGTGAGTTGCTGCAATGAATTAGTGTCTGCTCCGACATGATGCCCACTTCCTGAATACAGCCATATGGTGGCTGTATTTTCACTATGTAGGAAGGCCACATGGTGGAGTAGCTGCTTCCAGAAGGAGATCTACAGCACCAAAATAGCAACTGACTCATCAGTGATGGAGGTAGGAAAGAGGCCCACAGGGACCCAGTGGGACAGTATGGTAAGAATATAGGAGGGGAGGCCGCTACAGCATCCCTTGTAAAGGCAGGTGGATAGCAAAGAGCTCAAATTTTGTTCACACAATCATGGGGGCATGGCAGTAGCCATAAATTCGGGCAGGAGTTATAAGCCCCTTCATTCAGTGATGTCATAATTTCAAACAGTCCCTGTACAAACAGTTGATGGCCTCCTGTACGCCTTAAAATGCAGAAACGATTGTTGGTATCCTTAGCAATTTTTTTTCCATTTCCAAAGACATTTCCAAAGAGTTCCTATTCTAATTGTATAATGCATGCTGTTTAGAAAGAAGTGATCCTCAAAATCATTATGAATTACTGACATTGGCTTTGTGTATATAATGTTTAAAAGAAAAATATTTTCCTTGTAGCTCATGTGAGGAATCAGAATTAACTTAAGCACGACAATTCTTATTTCCATTCTCAGTTCCTAGCAGTCTGGTCTTCGATCATGTGAAAGGCTGGTATACACATCAGAATGAATTCAATATTCTCTTCCTGTGCTATGAGGAAATGATCCAGGTGAGACTATTCACTTATTTCCCCCACTTATCATATTCTTCCAAATATAAGATGCACTTTCCCCCACCAAAAGTGGGTGGAAATGTCTGTGCGTCTTATACAGCAAATGTTGCTGAAGCCCCACTCACCCTCTGGCCCCCACCCTTTGGCCGTTTTTTACCTCAGCGCATCACATTTTTGGCTGGTTCTAGGTGGCGGGGATTGGCGGCCAAAAACATAACATGCGGAGGAGGCCCAAAACACAATGTGTGGAGGTGGCGATGGCCTGGGCGATCACCACAGCCTGGAACAGCTTGTTTTCCTCCCCAAAAACTAATGTACATCTTATACTCCGAAAAATGCTGTATTCTTTTGTCAAGGTCAATAGGATTCAGGGAATAGGCCTAGACAAATAGAGATTCAGCTTCAGGTACAGTTTGCTTTTATCTATGATTGAACATTTGTGAATGTTCTGAACAAACTAACTTTTACATTTTTAAGGTCAGAAGAGTTCATGCCTGTTTTTCTTTTCCATTCAACATAAACTATTCCAGTGTGTTTGAAAATCAAAGTCCTGCTAACTCTCTGCTTATGCAGCTAAGCAGAGTTTGTAGAGCTGATTCAGACAGGGCTTTTTTCTTTTTCCTAAAAGAAGTGTATAGAAAAGAGACAAGGGAAGAAAAGGGTTTGTTCCAAAGCTTTTGGATAGATCAAGTTCCTGAAGAGGAGATACAGGAAGAACACACCATTCTCCTACCCCTATTCTCTTTTCATCCTTCTTTAAGGGTTTGACAAGCGCTGCAGAAGAGAGAAGCAGCCGGGTTAAATGCTGCTTCTCTCCACTGCAGTGCTTTCTGGATGTGACTTAAAGGACCTAAGTGGCAGCTCACGGCTGCTAAATTTCACTGTGCTGCACAAGACACTCTTCCGGCAGGCCACCAGCAAGAGCACTGGTGGAGAAAAGCAGCGGGGCTGGGCCATTGTCTCAGGAGAGCATGTGGAGCATCTCCCCAAGTGACCAAGGCTCACCCAGCACCAAGGGCTGGAAGAAGCGACTGCAAGATCTGACATGCCGGAGATTCAACCCAGCTGCTTCTCTCTGCCATAGCACTTTCACATGCTTGCTTCATGTATGTGCATGACAAAGAATGCAATGAAAATGACTTCATATAAGAGCATGCTTTGCTCAATTTGTTAAAAGGAATTGAGATGTGGTCAGGAGAAATATCAACTTAAGGTGTAAATAGGTAACGAAACAAGAAGAGTTAGCATTAAGATTCAATAAGTGCTGAATGAATGTGGATTAAATACAAATGAGTATTTGAGAGAAGCACATTTGTTGAAATGATTTAGTCATATTAATCAGGATCAATTACATAACAAATATTTGAAGGAACACTGAATGGATGCAGAAGGCGGCAGAGAAAATGATAGTTAGATGAAGCTGATAAGATTGGAAAGGTATAGTGCACAGTATTGATTTAGCTTGATTTAACCATTGTTCTATTTCTTTCTTTCCTGGTTGCCTTATTCCTTTTGTGTGCTTTGCATAACATTGCTTGTTCCCAAAGGAAAAAAGCATGATGGGAATTGATGTATACTAATCAATTGGTTGATTAGTTGGTTTATATGGTGTTCAGCTCACTATAACATTTCTAGATAAATAATGTAAGATATAAAACACATGTATGTATGTGCATGTAATTATTTACAATACATACATACATACATACATACATACATACATACATACATACATACATAACTTGCTTCATCTGAAATTTATATAGATGTAGTGGGAAATGCCTATTGTCCAGGATCTCCATCCAATTCATTTCCACCAGTGTTTTATCTGCATAAAGAAATAAATGACACTTTTTAAACCTTTTTAATGCTATTCGATATAATGTTTTCACTCGGAAATCAATTCCATTCTGTTCAGTGGAGCTTCCTCCAAATTAAGAGTATACAAGGGTATACTGTAGAAATATTCCAAAAGCAAATAATTCTTCTTCCAGGATCTCAGAGGCACAGTACTTAAAATATGTAAATTTATTGGAAAAGAGCTGAGCAGCCAGGAAGTGGATAAAGTTGTGGAGATGTCTACATTCAAGAACATGAAAGCTGATCCTAGGGCAAATCATGTGAAAACATATGAACAGTGTTTTGGACAAACAAACGTAAACCATATACGCAAAGGTAACACCGAGAGAACAAAATCAAACTTTGGTATTTTCCCTCTCTTGCATCTAACCATGGGACAAAAACGCTTCAGAAACCACTTCTTTTTCTCTTGTGTCCTCAAGACATTGAATTCTTATCCCCAGCATATACCTGAGGTAGTTCTACGTCATCCTCAGCTTCTCCAGTGTTGAATGAACATTTCCACTTCTTCAGCAGGCAAAATCTATGTTAGTTTATTGTAGAGGAGAGGTGAATTCTGCACTCACGTTATTCCTGGGGGTAGGTTCAGTTTAACTCCCATTGGTCACTAGAAAGGACATGGCCTCAATTCTCTAGGCCTATCAGGGCCATTCTGACTTGGACAGTGAAGAATCCAATTCTTTCTGATGAGGCTTTCCCCTGAATCTCCCAGATCTTGAGATGTAGCTTTGAAAGGGGGCTGAACCAGGCTGAGAGGTTGTGTTGGAGGAGAGAAAGAAAGAGGGAGAGAAATGGGAGATGAAAAGAGAGAGAGCTGATGTCCCTGCAACTTGAGCAATAGCTGGATCTTCACTGCTGTGCCCCACGACCCCTTTGAGAGGATTTCCTGCTCCTTCAGAAGTGTAGCTTTTTATTTATTTATTTATTTATTTATTTATTTATTTATTTATTTATTATTTATCTATTTATCTATTTATCTATTTATCTTATTTATTAGGGTTTGATCCTACCTTTATTACCCTGTTTTCCCCAAAATAAGACATAAAGTTGGGCTCAATTGTGTTTGTAACTCAAGGACTACATGTATATCCTCTTTCTGCTGAAAAAATTGTCCAAAGTAAGGTATTACTATAAAAACCTCAGTTGTGACTATTGCTGAGTCCAAAACTCACTCTTTTACTTACTCCTGTGATGAATAAATGTGCTATGAGAGAATAATGGTGGCAGCTGGATCTTGTGGGAAGACAGAACAGTGGTTCCAGAATTGTACTAGATACACAGAGCCAAAAGGATGATCATCACTGGTGGGATCTTCATGGTGGGCAGGTCTGTGAGGATTCAACATCAATGCTGGGGCTCTTTTCAGGAGAACAGACTACTGGCTAGGACCAATAATTGATTCTTCAATCTGCTCCTTTTTCATCAGGAACTGTTGGAGACTGGAAGAATATTATGACAGTATCGCAAAGTGAAAGGTTTGACAATATTTTTCAAGCACAAATGAAGGATATACCTCTCAAATTCATTTGGGATATAAAAGAAATACAATCTACTCAGCATGGGAAGCGGCAGGAACCTCTCCAGGAGGACAAAGAGCCGAAATGTTCAACACAACCGTAATACGTATATGCACAGTAGTTTAAGCTATCACAATACACCTATGTATTTTCTGTATGTACTTATGTGTATTGTGTGCATAACTGCTTTCTTCTCAAAGTTGTTTCCTGCTTTCCTGCAACCTTAAAAAAACATGGCTTTCGGGAACCCCATCTTTTTCTTTTTCAAAATATTGAAAACATCCTATAATTTATCACCACAAATGGGTCAAGATATACCAGAATGATTTCATAAATATTTTTCAATAGAAACAAATGCTTTGGAGGCTGGGAGAAATGTCTTTTGTAATGAGAAGAGAATAAAGATATGCTAATCAATTTTTTTAATGGGTCAACATGATGGTTGCTTTGATAATGGGAAAACTATTTTGGAACAGCACTTTTCTATATCTTGGATATATTAATTCTCTATTGCTCGATTTTATAAAAAAGATGAAGTTAGGGAAAAAATATTTAGCACATTTGGTTACTTACATGCTACATCCAACAACTTTAAGTAATGCCTATGGATATAGATCCTGGTGTAGAGGCCAAGTCAGAGGGTACAAGTGATCAGTTTTCTCTATAGCTCTAGTTTAATAATAAGTTTAAAAATTAATGTGCAGTTGATATCATATGGAGCTTATTTTTCCCCTAAGTTCTTCCTTCTCTTTCCATATAGTTTCTTGCCAAACATTATCATTCTTCTTCCTTTATTTGATCTGCCTCACTAATAAAATAATTCAAAAATTAGTTGATCAGATATATTTCATTAGGGTTTTTTAATCTGCTGCAATTCTGCAACTCTCAGTGGTTTACAAATATTAAAACACTCAATCATCGAACAATAAGTCATCCACAAGCAAGCCAAGATTAGTCCACCATGTAATGGCCAATAGTCCATAAAACAAATGCAAAGCTGCTCCAGCAAGTAAGTCCACTAAACCAACTCAAAGTCGCTAGGCAAAACTAAAAATACCTCCACGGGAACTCACTGGTCAGGAGAAGTTCAAAAGTCCAGCAGGAAGCATGAACAAATACACAGCCATAAATCATACACGTTATTGCCAGCAACACCTCCCTCTGCCTGCCATACTAAATAGCTTCCTGGTGCATCCCATCAAGAGGAGTGGGGCCTTCTCTTGAGTAATCTGGCAGACCTCCGTTTCTCTACCCTGCGTGCTCTGAGATCCACCATGGAAGGCAACTCTTCCCCATCCTCTTCACTTACCTGCAAGCTGTCTTCAGCAGAAGCCTGTAATTCTCTTTCTCCTGGCGGTTCAGGGTCAGTAATTAACCCTGTTCCTGAATAAACCCTGTTTATTCCCTATGCCAGGAATAAACTCATCCTCCCTCAAGCAGGCCTCCGAAAAAGAGTCAGAGAAATCGTCCAAGGGAGACATCACAACTCCCCATGGTAAGATAGTAATATAAAACATACAGTTATATAGACCTATGGTTACCAATTTTGGCCAGGCCATATAAATTTGCAGCAGTTTATTTCCGCTATTCAAGTTACTATCAACACTTAATCTGCAACAGATTCTATAAACTAACCTGAAATTTCAACAGCAAATATGAGGTTATAATTGAAGGCATCATCCAGTTGGAAAGCAAGGTAAACATTAGCTCTAGGTTATCCCTTTGACCTCATTATCAAACTATGAACACATCACTAATGATATAAACCAGATGTAAGTCTTATTAACAGAATGAAACACATCTGACTTGATTCACACATCATGTTTAAACTATAAACTACAGCTTGCAGATAAAATTGACTAAAATGCCAACCTCATAGTTAAACCAGCCAACAAATCAAACATGCTCTGTGTGAATTAAATCCAGGCGCCCATGCTAAATTCAGTTTGCAAGATACTTATAATTTCTCCCAAGTAGTCTTCCCATGCTTTAATGCTCATTGGGTCCACATCCTCTGAAGATTTGGCTTTTGGCACTATTAAACCTGCTTTCAAGGTAAAGATCAGATCTGGGATCCTCCAGACAATTTATGGGAAACCATATTTAAGGTTGAGAGGTTATGGAACATGGAGTCACAACTATCAGACCAGATCCAGCTAGAATTCCAGGCCACTAAAGTCATTTGGGGCCTGAGTGCCAGAGATTCATCTAGACCATCCTCTGCATCAAGGGTGGGGGAATTCTATTCAGAATTCAAAATCAATTCAGTTCTTAGATCTGTGAGTTGATCCTTCATTCTTTGATTTTGACAAGGTCTATGAAGATTACCACAATCCAGGGCCAAGCCTTGAGATGATTCCCTTCGTCCCATCTCTAGGCACATCAGAACTCAAATCCAAGAAGGCATTTGGCAAAATCATAAGAAAAATACACATATCCCCAAGCAATCCAGTGAAATATTTAATGATCAAGCCAAGATTTGTTTTATTTTTTGCTCTCTTTGTTCTCTTTCAACTAGATTTAAAATTCAGACATTAAATGCAAACAATACACATGAGCAGCTGTTTGCTGTCACTGGGTCACAACATTGTTAAAACAGAAGTTATAGTCAAGGTATCGATGTATGTTATTTTTTTCATTCCTCATGTTCATTACTGAAACGGATACCAAAGAGAGGAAATGTTTCATTTTAGAAAGGAAAGGAAACAATAATGTATAATTAATTAAACCGCATTGCACTTTTAAAAACTCTTTATCTTTGAAAAACGTTTTCAGTATGTATCCAAACTCATAACCTCTTGCAAGCTTCTCTTCTAACAGGAGTTTAGATTGGTTTCTATTGATCGGGCACAGTGTGTGATGCTGCAAAGAAACACAGAACCTTTGAGTAAATTTTATATTTGAGTAGATTTAATATTTAAAAAGTCACTTATTTATATTATTTTTATCCCTTACATTCAAATCATAACATCTTGCAAAATGAGATATATTTTTATGTGTAATAAATTGGTGCAGATGTTATTCCCTCCCCGCTCATATGTTATCTCCTCCCCACTTCGTTGTCCCGTGGTGGTGAGTTGTCCCCACATCCAGGGGACGCATTCAGACAACTGGGCATGCCATTGGCACTGAACTATCATCGGCAACCCGTCAGCTCCAATCCATCAACACTGGCCCAGTGGTGCCAAGTGCTCCACACTGATCTGTTGGCACCGATCCATCCACACTGAGCTGCTTGCACCGACCCACTCTTGCCGAGTTGTCCTACACATGAGATGACACAGTAAAATCCAGTTGAATCCAATTCTATATTTGCTAATACCGTCTGCTAATGCGGACAATCTTGCCAAACTAAAAATATAATGTTCTAACCTTCTACATATATTATTCTGAGGGATTCTAGGGTGTGGCTACAATGAACCTTTCCCACCTTCCTCATCCAACCCAGGACTGCATAGTCTTTTAATTCATGCCTCCCTCTGGGAAAGCTGTGTGTTACCAAATTTCTCCCCCACTGCTCCTCCAGGTGCACATTCCATTACATACAACACTTTCAATATCTTGCTCAAGTATGCTGCAAGTGTAATAGGAGAATAATTCTCAAGTACTTTCTAGGGGTGTTGTCATTTCCTTTTCCAGATGGTAATGCTGTAAAACACTTCTGAAAAAGCAAAATAAGACATCCCCTGACCAGTATAAGAGCTACTGATAAAATCTCTGATACTGAACTTACAAACAAATAAGCACTGGTGAAGACTGCCTCAAATTACATCCATGAAGTTTGCAACAACATGGAAATGGTTTACAACTATTAACCCAATATTTAGAATTTGGTTTTATCTGCAGAAAACTATTACAGAACTTGGGGATATCCAAACAGTTATCACTATCTCTATGCAAATCAAGTAATGCAGTTCAATCAAA